GGCCATGAGTGGCCATTGCATCACAAGCTCCCAGAGTCCACAAAGGCTTTGCTTGCTTTTACCTGGAACAGTTTCAAGTCACCATGCAAACACTCCCATTTGGTCCAGAGTTGGGGAATCTCATTTTCTCATGATTGTCCCCTCTTTGATTCTAGACAAACAGCTCCTTTCTTCCAGGCAAGGGGACCGAGTACCCTAGATAATGGTGAGGCCTGAGGAACGCAGTCTCCTTGCCAAACCAACAAGTCCAAGTTCATCAAGGAAACAGAAGATCAGATGACTGCAGAAGCCAGGTGAGATGGCTCATACCTACAATCCCAGCACTAGGGAAGCTATGGCAGGAGGGTCACAGGGAGTCTGAGGCTAGCTGGGTTACATACAGTTCTGGGACAGCTTGGGCTACAGAGTGAGATCCAGTTTCGAAAAACAGAGGGGGCAGGAGGGAGAGACAGAGGGACAGACAGACAGATAAGGAAACAGAGAGAAACAGAGGGAGAGAGACAGACAGGAGGAGGAGGAGAAGGAAGAGGAGGAGGAGGAGCCTCTGTCATCATATAGTAGTCAAGTACAGTTAGAAATAAACACAGGCCTCAGTATTCCAATCCAAGGAAAAACTTGTTCATCTTACATCAAGTTCCAGGTGTCCCTGCCAATTTTCTCCTTAGATTTGATTTCTAATCTTTCTAAAACCAGTTTATAAGCTTGCCCGGTGTGTTCCTTGGAAGCTTGTCAAGCCACAGTTGACCATGTAGGTGAGGGATGAAGTTTGCCCTTCTAGGAGGTGGCAGGTAAACAGATGCAGACTTGCTTCTTGGATAACACTAGGACTGGAAGCCCAGCCTTCCAGTAGACCAGCTGGGTTCCTCAGCCTTTAGACTACAAGGCCAAGGTCAGTCTTCCAAACCCTACTCCCACCTGCTCAGTCCTTTTTCTGGTGCTTAGAATCCAAGGCTCCTCTAACAAGCCCCGGCATAACTAAGTACAGTCCAGGCTCTTGTTTGTCAAGGAAGCCCACTTTCTAGAAGGGGGCAAGTCACACACATTGGGAATGACCCCGCTCTAGTGAGCTTTTATCAAATACTGGCCAAAGAACCAGCACTGCCCTAGCAGTCACTGTCTACAACATTAACACGTGTTCCTGGCTCCTGGCTCCTGGAAGCTTCAGATTAAAGCTGTGGTGTAGGCCTGATTCCAACATGATGAAAGAAAGATACACGCTCACTTTCCATCAGCTCAAAAGGGAACTTAGAGGCCAGGGCAGGAGATAAGAATGAGGTTCTGGGTTGGCAAATCTGTGCTATGCTTTTCTCAGCTAATTGAAGGGATCCAGAGAGCCTGAAAAACACACTGAGCAGAGTCTTCCTGGCAGGATGCCGAACAGCAGAGAACCTTTTCTTCTCTACCGCTTTTCCTGGCCCTCCAGGTTTCAAAGGAATCAAGTCCTGTGAAAATCAATGAAGTCACCAGTAGTCCCCCTGGCCCAGTTTGCAACAGGGCGGCCAGTGGATGAATTAATCCTGTTAGCAGGTTTCTTCCTCAACCCAAATATCCAGGTAAAACAGGTACTCTTTTTGTTGTTGTTGTTTTTTGGTCTTTTTGAGACAGGGTCTCCTTGTAGGCCCAGCTGTCCTGGAACTCACTATGTAGACCAGGCTGGCCTTGAACTCACAGGGATCTGCTTGCCTCTGCCTCCTGAGTGCTGGGATTAAAGGCATGCGCCACCACACCCAGCAAAACAGGTACTCTTAATATAAAGTTTGCTACTAAAATCATGCCACTTATGCCCTGCAGCCTTGACAGGGCCATAGGACTTCACCCTCTCATTGTCCCTCTAGTGTTTCCATTCCCCAGGAAGGTGTTGACCAGGTACCTTACAGGCCAGGCTTCCTTCTCAGCTCACCAGAGAGACCTAGAAAGAAGAAGCAGCCGTGGAGCCTGCCACAGGGTCCTCCTACTCTCCTAGGGGAGACCAGCTCTGGGCTGGGAGGGTGGCCTTGGCTGCAGGACACTATGGTGCAGCAGGTGAATGTGAGAGCTGAGGAACGAGAGGCAGACAGAGAATACTTTCTCTTGCCTAAGTAGTGCTGCCCAAGGCTCACACCCACTGGTGAGCTTCGTCAAGGAGCAGACAAGTTGGCTGGAGCAGGCTCTCTGCACCCCAACGTAAAACTAACTTCTTCTTGCGGATCTTGGGCTTCTTCATAGGCGGAAGGTAGGGGTTTTTGATGGTGCTCTCTTCCAGGTTCCGGCTGCCGACAAGGCAGGGTTCTGCTGCAGGACAGAAGTGTTATTCTTGGCTGCAGAATCGGTCCACACCGATACGAAGAGGGAGGTTCTCTGTGTCTGCCTGCTCATCCTGCTCCGAGGAGTGTGTCTCTTCCATCTGCTGCATCTCCGGCTTGGAGGGAAGCAGGTCGTGTCAGGTAGGGGATGGTGAAAGGCCTGGGGTGATCAATGGGAACTTGTGATGTTGTCTTGGAAAAGGCTCTGGGTCTTGACTGTCTTAATCATGAAGCGGGTGAGCACCTGCTTCACGGTGCACCTCTGGGAAGCAGCCTTCTCCCTCAGGACCTGGTAGTGAGACTCTGTAGGTGTCTGTAGGTGTGGGGATGGGGAAATGCAGGAAAATGGCTGGGGATGAGTGGCGGGTGGGGTCAGTTCTGCCCAGCAGTGAGGGCCTTGGGGGTCACTGGCTGATTGGTCACCAGAGGTGCAGTGATGACCATTCTCTGAAACCATTTTGTATAAGCAGGGAGAGTGTCCACATTGAAACCCATCTCAACCAGTGTGACCCTAATATCCAACAGCATGGCCTGGATCCTGGCTGCCTGAGATGTCTGTGAGGGGATCAAAGGCAGAGGGTAGCTCTGCAGCATCTCAGTCAAGGTTTCCACAGATGCCTTCTCAGCACTTGCAAATCCTGCCTCCATCACAAGGAGCTCACTACCACTTGCAGTGTTCCTCTCCCGGCCAGATGGAAGTTTTCAGCAGGGTTGGTGCACTATTGATTTATAACCCATGTAACTAAGGACAATCTAAGGATGATCTTTAAACTCATGATCCTCCTGCCTCTGTCTCTCCCATCTAACCACCTAAGAGAGGGGGCACCACCACACCTTCCTGGCTTTGGAAACTTTTTTTTTTTTTTTTTTTTTTGGTCTTTTTGAGACAGGGTCTCCCTAATTGCCCCATTTGACCTGGAACTCTCCATGCCAACCAGGCTAGCCCCAGACTCAGAGATCAGCCTTCCTCTGCCTCCTGAGTGCTAGGATTAAAGGGCAGCACCTGGTTGGAAACAAATCTTAACTGTATCCTTTCCAACTGGTTGGGTATTTATGATTACCTTATTTCCACAAGATGTTTTATTTTATGTGTTTGAGTGTATTGCTTGCATGCATGTAAGTGCACCCATGTGGTGCAGGGCCTGCGGAGGTCAGAAGAGAGTGTCAAATCCCCTCAGGGTTGTTAGCCACCATGTGGGTGCAGGGAATGGAACTCCAGTCCACAGCAAGAGTAGCCAGTGCTCTTAACCACTGAACCATCTCGCAATCACCCTTGTGATTACCATATTTTTAACCTTATGTCTTTTTTGGGACACAGCACAGTATAATACATACCTGTACATATAGAAGCAGCTCATTTAGCACACAATCCTTCTGTCTACTTGAAAAACAGCTGTCGCCGGGCTCCGTGGCCCATACCTGTAGTCCCAGCACTTGGGAGGCAGAGGCAGGCGGATCTCTGTGAGTTCAAGGCCAGCCTGGTCTACATAGTGAGTTCCAGGACAGCTGGGGCTACAGGGAGACCCTGTCTCAAAAAGACAAAAAAAAAGGAAAACAGCTGTATGTATGCAATTTATCTAGGTCAGAATAAAGCATAGCACAACTCCCTTTGAGGAGATCCCTTGGGAAACCACCCCCAACACCTTTGGGAAAGGGTCCCAAAAATGCTAATTTCATGTGAAATTCACTTTTTCTTCCAAGCACAAAGGCATTCTGTGGATGGACAGGTCCTTATAAGAGGGGTTGATTACTGATGGCTCCAACTTGCTCTACCGGAGTCTTGGCTGGAAATTTGAGTTCCAGTGTTGGGTGGAGGATGGAGGCAGTTTTGAGCTGTGGGTGGACTCATTTTAGCCGGAAGGGCAGGTAGGGGGAGATTTAGGAGTGGGATCGAGGATTGTATTTCTCTGTAAAGTGGACAGAAAATCCCGATAACCTGGGTTGAAGAAGAAGGACGGCCACTATGTAAGGACTGCAGGAGCGGCTGCGGAGCTCGCGCTGTGCGCTCCGGGCTAAGCCCCGGGTGCGAGTTCCCGCTCCGCAGCTGTGTAAACCTCGGAGCGCCCGGAGCTGCGCGGTGACTCTGCTAATGCCTGCTCGCGAGAGGACAGCACAGGATTCGGCTCTCTGCCCAGCCTCATCTAGATCCATTCCACTTTGGGCTTTAGGTAAAGCACTGAATCCACATATGACATCCAGCAGAAGGGCCTGGCCACCCACCATGGCGTGGCGCCGGGTGGCAAGAAGAGACAGACACTGCTTTGCTCTGAACCCGAAGGACGCAAAGTGAGCTTCAGCGCCACTGGACGCGAGACCTATTCACTATGGTACTGTTGGGTTACCCTCACCTTGCCTGTTTGCTCATCTGAAAAGTGAGGCTAATGACTGCCCTCAAGCCTCTTGGGGCTGTTGTAACGAAATAAATGCCACAATGTAAACTAAACTTTTAGGGTCGCGCTCTGGGGTGGTGGTCATTGTGGGCATGTTCTGCAGTTCCACCTGGCCTCGGGCTCCGGGAAGTCCCAGTCCCGCCAACCTAAACAATGGCAAAGGTACTCCAGTGCTGCCCGGGGGCACCGCCAGGGCCAGTGCCTGGGCGGGGGCTGAGGGGTGTGGGCGGGCACTGTCCCCAGGGCTCGCAGCTTCCTCGTTCGGAGAAGCCTCCCCCTCCCCCGTCTGGACCAGCGTTTTTCAGTCCGCCGAGGGGTGTCCATCCGAGGGACTCGGGATGGCTTCCAGCGAGTGAGTGTCCCCAGGGCCGAGAAAAGTGGGTGGGGGATCTCGGGGCGGAGCAGGTGCGGAGGGAGCAGGCAGGTGCGGAGGGAGCGGGTAGGTGGTAGCTGCAGCCGGGTGGGTCCCCACCTGGGAGGCAGCAGCCTGCCGGGCTCGGTGAGTGCGGCTTCGGCAATCGTGGCCCCCGGCAGACCTGGAACTGGTTTTTCCAAGAGAAAATTCGACGCGGAGGTTGTTCTTGTGGCCTGGGCTGGATGCTGGCGTCCAGCTGAGCCCTCACCTAAGGTTTCCGAAAATTGGGTCTCAAGGCGCACACTTTTGAGCGCCTGCACAGTCGCACTGTGCACTAAAGAGGCTCCAGGGTTAAATTAATTGTGAACGCGGAAAAAATGTGCTAAATTAATTTTTACAAACTACAAAAAAATCAGAAATGAGTTTTGTCGAGTTTCTTTTAACCTCACCCCCTTAAAGATTATTATTAATTATTATTACTATTATTATTGTTGGTATTTTTCAAAACTCTAGAGGAGGACTGGAGATGTAGTTCCATTGGTAGAGTGCTTGCCTGGCATGGCGAAAGCCCTGGACTCCATCCCCAGCACTGCAGAAAACTGGTCGCACACGCCTGTAATCCCAGTCAACATTTCGGAGGCTGAGGCAAGCCTGGGTTATATTTGGGAGATTCCATCTCAAAAGAAAACTTAAAAACGGCTGAGTGCCAGGCATAGTGGCCCACGCCTTTAATTAACCCAGCACTTGGAAACTAGAGTCAGGTGGATCTTTGTGAATTCCAGGTCCGGATGGTCTACACAATTGAGTTCCAGGGGAGCTGGAGCTATAGGGAGACCCTGCCTCAAATAAAAACAAAAACGAGGGTGTGGCTCACTTGTTTACTATGCACTGGGACCTGGGCTCAATTTCCAGGACAAAACAAACAAACCTCTGTTATTAAACACTGACAGAGAAGTCTTATGACGAAAATGCAAAATATATTCATGAGACCATATTTACAAGCATTAAAGAAAAAAAAGCACACATGTTCAGGAAAGGATGCAGGGAGTGAGGGAAGGAAGGCAGACCTTGTGTCCATCCTTGTTGATTGCTAAGAGTTTCAGAAAGCCCAGCCTTCAGCTCCCCTCAACATTCCTGCCGGTGACTGGGAGAACAAAACTGGGACCCATGATCTCACGCTCAGTTGAGAAAGATAGCAATGAATTTAAAGCTGGCACATTGTTGGCAAACTTCTCTTTTCTTTGACTTATAAACAGTTGGAATTATGGATGTAAGTCTTTGGGTGTTTGTTTGTTTGTTTAAATCTATGCTGTTTGCCCTTTCCCTGGTTCTACCACTGAGTGCAGGCCCGTGTAACCTTGGGGAAACTGCAACATTTCTTTTGGTTTCTGACTTTGTTCTTCTGAGATGATAGTTCACCTCAACAACCTTTAACAACCTTTAACAACCCAGAAAAAGGTTCCACTGACTAAACACAATGCATGTTAATCATTAAATTCATTTTATAAAATGAGTGTGGTGGTGCATATCTGTAGAAATTCTAGTAGTTCCAGGTTATTTTCAAGCTGTGGAGTGAGTTTGAGGCAAGTCTGAGCTACATCAGACCCTATCCCCAAAGGGAAAAATTCAATTCATCATATTCCCTGTGGAGCACTTACTTAGGGAGTATATGCTGGACTCTGATTGTTCCGAGGCGTTCCTGGCACTGCCCTTTAAAGAATATATTACCATTGTCTCCATTTTACAATTGGGGAAATCAAGGGAGAAGGTTGTTCAAGGCTCACACTGGAAGGAGCAGATTGGATTTTAACTCAAGTCTATGGTTTCTGATTGCTTGGGACATTTACTAATATTGTCATTTAATAAATGGGCTGGAGAGATGGTTCCATGGTTAAGAATCAGTATTGCTCTTACAGAGAACCCAAGTCCAGTCCACAGTACCCAAGTTAGGCAGCCATACTGCCTGTAACTCCAGCTTCAGGAGACCCAGTGACTTCTGTACCAAGGGCACCTGCACACACGCACACACACACACACACACACACACACACACAAGTTAAACTATTTTTAAATCTTTTTTTTTAAATGTTGGATGGTCCTATTATGTAGGACGGTCCTATGTGCTGGGCACTATACTTAGTCCTGGGAATATAATACATTTGGAGAAATGACAACCTAAGCATATTTGACATCAGCATCAGATCCAATGTCCCCGGCTAAGTCTTTCATTCCCCTGTACCCTTAAATTCCACATTTCTTTAAATGAGCTCCTCAAACAAACTCCAATGAAGCTATACATTTCTGAGGGCAGTTTTATCTTCAAGGTTTAAAAAAAATGATCTATTGAGGCTAGAGAGATGGCTCAGCGGTTAAGAACACTGGTGGTTCTTGCAGAAGACCTGGGTTTGAATCCCAGCACCCACATGGCAGCTAACAACTGTCAGTAACTCCAGTCCCAGGGGATCCAACAGCCTCTTCTGCCCTCCAAGGGCATTGTACAACACGGGTGTACTTATCTACACGCAGGCAATACACACATACACATAAAATAAAAATAATAAATGAAATCTTTTTTCTTTTTCCTTTTGCTCTCTTTGAGACAGGGTCTCCCTGTAGCCCCAGATGTCCTGGAACTCACTATGTAGACCAGGCTGGCCTTGAACTCACAGAGATCCGCCTGCCTCTGCCTCCCAAGTGCTGGAATTAAAGGCCTGCACCACCATGCCCAGCTCTTTCTCTTTTCCTTTCCTTTCCTTTCCTTTCCTTTCCTTTCCTTTCCTTTCCTTTCCTTTCCTTTCCTTTCCTTTCCTTTCCTTTTCTTTTTTCTTTCTTACAGGGCTTCATGTAGCCCAGACTGACTTTTAACTCACTATGAAGCGAAGGATGACCTTGAACTACTGAGCCTGCTTTCTCTACCTCCCCAGTACTGGGAGTACAAGAAAGTACCACCATTGATAGTTTTTACTTGCAGTTTTAACTACCCCCTCCTCTTTGGAACAGAATTATTTTTCAATCATCAAATAATAAGCAGTAATAATCATTTTCTTGTGTCCTTTCTTGTTTGTGTTTTCTATTTATTTATTCATTGTGTGGATATGGGCACATACGTGCTATGGCACATGTAAGGAGGTCAGACAACTTAGGTGTTGGCTCTCGTTTTCTACCTAGTTGAGGCAGCATCTCTTGTGGTTTCTGTCCATGTACAGTGAACACTGGACTAGCTGGTCTGAAAGCTCCTGCCATGCCGTTTCTGCCTCCTGTGTTGAGATAGGTAGGAATGCTGGGACTCTAGATGCATTCTTTAGCATCTAACTTACATGGGTTCTGGGGGTTGAACTCAAGTTATCCGGCTTGCATGGCTAAATCATCTTCCCAGCCCTTCTTTCATTTTAAGACAACTAACAATAAGTTATTTTTTTAAAGATTTTTCAAGTGGGGTGAAATATTTTATGTATAAATTACAATGATTAGCGAGGACTAGAGGTATAGTATACTGTAGAGTGCTTACCTAGTTTGTATGCAGTCCTGGGTTTGTGCCCTATACTATCAAAGAAAAAAAAAGATTAGTGAACTAAGATGATCAATTCATACTTACCAAACAAAACATTACACTTGCCAAGTGATATTTTATATTTGTTACTTTTTGGTGGAGTAG